AAGAACGTTATTATCATTGAAAGTGCTTTATAGACAACAACGTATCTTTACCTTGGCTATATAAACAAGTCTGTGTGAGAAAAGATGCACGCATATACACGCCTACGAAAACGCACGTACTCATACATTTTGCTAAGCCTTCAAACCACGCCTACTCAAAAGCATTAGCAATTCAGTTTTTATTCTAAGCTTAAATTTGTGTATTATCACAGTTGTGATATATAGTTTTGTTAGAAAACATTAACACACATCATTGTTCAATTATCTGTAAAGAAATTCCCTTGAGATAAATCGGTTTGTGGTTATACTCAAGAAGGCTTTAACAGTTGTTAAAGTAGTTGTTGTATCCCTTTGAATATAGTGGATTAAGACCTCGTTGGAGAGAGGCGAAATCACCTTGACGGGTGGACTGGAGTAGTTTGAGATCAAACGAACCAGGATAAAAATACAGTGTTGTTTAAGCTTTTGATTTAAGTTTTACAATTCAACCCCCCTTCTTGTGTTTTTCATATCTTCAAGTTTATCTCCTTCACTTAAGACCTACCCAATGCAACTTCAATCTAAGTCCTACTTAAACCTGAGTTCCTACTCACTCCACCTCAATCACAGCAGTGATACTAATCTACTGATTAATAAGATTATGAAGACATTCTTCAATACACACGCTTGATTTTGCTTCAAAGCTTTAATCAAGAGACACAACACTCGTGCTTCAAAGCTTTGAGTGATAAACAACCCTTACAACCAAAACCTACTCCAAGTCACTTATCAAGTGATAATTGCTTGGCTCACAGTAATTACTAAAACTAGTACTACTACAAAATGCCTTATTGATCTTCTATTTAAGCGTTGCCCACCATTAGAATTCGTGAGAAATATATATGCAGTCTATTCTTTATTTTGGGCTTCCATAAAAATAGCTAGGGTTAACCAAAGTTAACCTAAAGACTTGGTCTTGGGCTTTCATCATAACAGATTAGGGTTAAGCAAGGTTAACCTAATATCCACGTGAGCATTTGATCTAGTCAACATACTTCAACTCAGAGCAGCACACCAGATTCCTGAAAAATCTCATGAACAATAAATCTGCACAGCAACTTGATCGGTACCGGATGTCTTAACATGGGTTATGACATTGGTTATGACATCATGTATCCTGCTCACTGATTTTGGTAGAATTCAGTACATATGATCATAGCTTAATCATCATGATATTCACTCATACTGAGTTGTTCCTGTAGAACATTCCTTCTGCAGAATTTGTCTTTATCCCAGAATGTTATGGCATCAGTCATGACATTCGCAAATCTGGTTTTACCAAAAAATAATGCCAACAAGCAAACACTTACAATGATCTTTGACTTCAACTTTGACCAAAAGTCCACTTGGTCAACAGTAGACTTTTGTTAACTTTTGCTCAAATGATCAGATAATCAAGATTAAGCAATTTAACCTCAAACAAAGTCAACCAAAGGTCCACAATCCATATGAGAACTCCTTAAGTCATATATAAGTCATTGCGAACCAATTTGCTCAAGAAAAATGTCAGGAAATACCTTTGTCAGCAAGTTGACTTTTCAGTCAACTAGGTCCAAATTTCACTAGTCTTCCAATGCAGTGCTTTGAGTAATCTTGTGATAAATCCAATGGTCATACTTGATACTTTGGGCCATCAATTGATCATCGAAACCAAGTATTAATGAAAATGAATCTCACAACTTGAAAGGGCCAAAACCCTAATTTCTTATTGAAGAATTTAGGAGATGGTGACTGAAGATCAAAACCTTATTTCTCAGAGATTCCTGAGAAATTCAAGGAGTCAATGAAGTTAAATCAATAAGGAGCCCATGAACATGAGAACCCACTCAACTTGCCTTGAGAAGCTCAATTTCTTAATTGATGGATAATCTTGAGTCAAGAGAAACCCTAAGAACCTTGATCTCATGAGTGTAGCAATGAATATGACCTAATGGTAAGTATGCAAATGCAATATAATAAACCAGATGAAAACATATAAGGGTAAGACAAATTTTGGGTATGGAAGTATGCTCTCATAGCATACCATCTATGATTTCATACCTTATTGTTATCACCAAAATCTTGTCATGGTATCGCTTTCTCATCATCAGTAAACACCTTCTGCAAATAGCTAAATCTAGCTTGAGCCCCACGGGTGAAGTCAAACTCTTTAATGGCACTCTCTGGGTCAGCTTCTAGATATTCTACCATCAACTCCAATGCATCGTCTTTGTTACACCTCTCATGATCTAAAAATTTCCCCCTAATCGGAAGATGCAGCAGCCACATGATATCGTCCAGTGTAATAGACATCTCAGCACGTGGTAGATGAAATGATAACGTCTCTATATGTCATCTCTCTATAAAAGCATTAGTCATACCATGGTTAATTGTATTATAACCAATCTTGCTCAAATCCCGCAACCCTGGTAGCTGCAAAACTTCCTGAAACCACTGCTTATTGGGTTATTCCAGGCAAATAATCTTCCGCACATGGTTGATTTTTAGTGGCTCGTGTTCCTGCATACATGGTTTAATAAGAATGATTCAAACAAACAAAAGTTAATAATAAAACAAACACATGTTTGAATGAATAATTCCAAATAAATTTTACCTTTATGTCTCAGATATGTTTGGCTACATGGTCGGGGGATAAAGAGGCAGCAATGATAAGTCTGACGAGCCTCCTCCAAAACTCTGAGGTGTCATATGGGCCCTTTCATTCGTCTGGGTTTGGGATGCATCAGATGCCGCCTGAAACCGAGATGCGTCAGGTGTCACCTGGAATTGGGATGTCTCAGGTGTCGCCTCAGTCTCCTGGGCCTAGGATGCCTTAGATGCCTCCGGTGTCGCCTAGGCCTGTGATGCCTCTCATGCTTCAGGTGCCTAAATAGGTGAACTCGTGTGTCTACGTGAAGATGAAGGTGAGTAGGCATGAGCAGGGGATCCTCACCAGCTACGGTAGGACGGAGAAGAAGGCAAAGATACATGAGTTCTGGAACCTGACGCCTCTGCATCAACCTGTTTAGAGGTAAAAGGAGTCTGTGATTGCTGACTTTTTTTCTTCCAAACAGGTGCATGTTGTGCAAGCCTATCATGTCTCAATCGGGGTGGTCTTTCAGCCATAATTCCTGTAAATATACAAGACAAGCATTACACAATGAGTTAATTATAAAAAAAAGGCAAAAACATTGCACGGACTGCTTTCGGAGATGCATATCTGGTTTTGGGTAAACGTTGAAACATTCTGGATATGTACCTCTGAAAACTCCTGCAACACCAAACATCGTCGATGGGCGGAATGCAGACCCATAAACATCAAAAATAATCCATTGATCGTAAAAACTACTTAACTAAGTCGTTCCTCATTAGTTCTAAGTTATCAAACATTAAAAATCTTTCGATTTCATAACCTAAAACTCAACTTCTACACAATTTTATATAAACTCAATAAATTTTATAAAAAAATTTACCATTTGTGTCTTCAAGTTAATTCTTGTTGCTCAATGTTGTTTGAAGTCAGATGTTTGATGAAGATTGATGCTCTTTGATGTTGTTTGGGTGTGTTATGAGTGAGTTTGAGAAAATATGGAGGAGTATTTTTAGATATGAGTTTTGAAATGATTTTGCGTGAGTGAGGAAGAGGAAAGGGTCCTGACGCGTATTTAAACAAATAGCGTCCGGAAATGCATTTATGTGGGCTTTTCAGAGATGCAACTCCGAAATAATTTTATGTGAACTTTGGTCATGGGCAAGAAATATACTGAAGTTGGGTGCGTCTGGAGATGCATCTACGTTAGATTTACGTAGTTGTATCTCCAGTAAATTATTTTCACTGATGCAGGGTCCTGTTCAACATTATGTTGAATTTTATTGCGTTAGAAGATGTATCTCCGAAATCTGAAAGCATAAATATATTTTCGTGCTATGCGCTAGATATTGCATTAAGAAATTCCCCTCAAAATACATGCCACTAAACTAGTGAATGAACTACTAAACTAATCAAAAACTATTAAAATTGTACAAAGTGGCATTTCAGACGGTTTCACTAGTTGATTGACTTACATGAGAGGTAGATATATGTTTTTGTTATTGAAAAGGGTTCACCAAGAGGATCAAGAATATTAGTAGAACTTGCCATGGCTTTAGTTTCAACAAGAGGATCAATAATATGTATTTTCTGTTGTAATCAAGGGAAAAATGTTGTGGTAACAGGGGAGACGGGGTTGCATCATCGAAACTTGATTTTGACATTGAAATTATCTTTGAGATGTTTCAGGAAACAAACCAACTCCTCTGAAGCAGTCACAATATGGGATCACTCTTACGGTTTCTAATTCTTCACAAAGAATATTCAACTCAGTAAATCAGATATAGTTTTCTCATCTTGTTTGATGGAGGTTTTCTTATTCTTTTTCAAGGATTTTCTCTTTTCTAATGACTAGACAACTTTGAAATGATTACTCTCAAGAAATGTCAACGTCACAAAAAAGAATATATTAGTCTTTTTTCAATGATTTATTATATGCATCACTTTCAGAAAACTCAAAATTGAACTTAAAAGTAATATCTAATAACTTCAATGTAAAACAATATTTTTAATCATCTTCCAAAAATGTATTTAAATCTTTGTAAAATAAAATTATTCAAAAAAGTATGTTATTTACACTTTTAAGCTGAAAATACTTTACAAAAGACATCTTTTAAATATCACGCCAATATTTTAAATCAACGTTCTAAAATCAATTATGCTCACAAGAAATATACACAAATTTTTTCATCTTCTGATCATTTATCTAACATTCTGAATCATCTTCTGATAACCAAATACTAGAGTTGAATAATACAACAAGATACTGCATGAGAACTGCTCGTCCATTTATAGCAACAAGATGTGAAAATATATAAGATAAAGCTTCAAGATAAAGCTGTGATGAAAAATCCACCCAAAATTGACAACGTCTAAAGGCAACTATAAAGGATTATATGCCTCGGGTGCAACCCCGAACTACCTGGGAAATACACCTACAAAGCCTAATAATTCTTGAATACCCCACATCCACACTCTCAGCTGCGGTTCTTATTTCATCGACAAGCAACGAAGGAAGATTTTGCTCCCGACTAGCTGCAGAATCATATATTTGAGATGGAAGAACCTCTGCAGGATAGGCGCCGCTGCTCAAACCATTTGTTAAATCAGTGCCTTTAATTACAAGTTACAAATACCAAGAAAAATAGACTTCATGCAGGGATAGCACCACATTTAAGAGGTTGGGGGAATAGAAGAGGACTCAACGAAGACAAAAAAAGAGTGGGATCATTTTTACTTTTGGATGATGAGCATAAGACAAAAAAAGTTGTCTCCTATTTCATTAGTAACAAACAAAATTCAAGATTTATGGCTTATGTATTGTCTTGTTCCATAATCATTTCCAAATCTAACATAGAATAAATAAATTATTTGTAAAAACATAATTTTTCAGCAAAGCAAAGACATACTTAGTAACAGAATTAACCATGCAACGGAAGAAAAAAAACTAAAGGAAGCAAGAAAAAAAACTAAAGGAAGCAAAGACATACTTAGTAACAAAGAATTAACCATGCAACGGAGAAAAAAAAACTAAAGGTTAACGTTAAAAAATTAGCAGGTTTACCATTTTAAGCATGCCATATCGAGAATCACTTGCACCTTCTTCCCACCAAGGAAGTCAATGAAAGATAGCTGCAAATCAAGTTGATGAACTGCAAAACGAGAATGAAATAGACAGTGTGAACTACCTGTTTAATCTAAAGTCAGAAAATGGCAATTAATTACAGAAGGATTTTCTGCTGCTGAAAGGTTCATATTATAATTTTGAAAAATTAAATCGGGCTGGATCAGCCATTTTGATGGCGGAGCCGATGAACTAGTCAAGTACCCTGTCTGTTCAATCTCAAAAAATTGACTGATCACAAAACCAGTGAGAACAGGTCAATGGTTCATTTACTGCCCCCATCTGATGTTTTTAACATAAACATAAGTATAATATTTAGAGTAGGGATGAAATTTGCTAACCTGACTGAGAATTGAACTTAGCCTGGACCAAATTTCCAATCTCTATTCGAGCCAACTGAACCTCCTCAACCACATCTAGCAAATTACTTAGAAGTGAACCCGTAATCTGCATAAAATTACCCGTCAGCTACAGCACACTATGAGGTTGTAAAAGAAAACTTTGAGCCCAAGAAATAGAAAGCAAAAGGATAATAGAAAATATTACTTGAGATACTTTCATGGAAATTTAGGTGGTCAGGTAGATACAAAATATCTTGGGATGGGAAGATATAGAACCATGCTACATTTCTATACTATAGTATTAGATGCCCGTGTTCATCGTACGCACATGAGTAAACCGGATTTGGATTGTCTCCCGTGACAAATCCACTAGATGACATAAAGTGCAAATCATTACCGATGAATTATTTTAAATTAATATTATAATATTTAATTGAAAAAAATTAAGGGCTCAGATTTCACCGTAAGGAAATGTTATTGGAGAGAATCTACACCCGAGTAAACCCTATTAGAATATCTAAGAAATATATCATTATATTATTTTAAAAATGATGATTTTTCAGGACTAGAGTCATCTTTCATTTATTATTACTATTACACAAGTACTTTCCTAATTAATATTGGCAATAGAAGTGTACTATTGAAAACTGGAGCATAAATGGAGAATAGGAGGGTTTCTCCTTCACAATAATTCACAAATGATTTCTCCTTTTACATAAAACTATAAAATCTAACGAATGATTTCCCCAATCCTACCAATCCCGAATGTATTTAACAAACCCCCTCTTACTAACCCAGTGGCCTAACTACAAGTAACCAATTTTCCTTTCTAACTTAACACTAATCATACCACCAAATTGAAGTTCAACCATGTCCCCAAGGTTGTCGCAGTCTAATAAATTTCCTTGTGATCTATAGTCGTTGATAACAAATCCCTCTCCCTCAGGGCCTTCTTGTTGGGAGCATAATGAGCTAACAACGGGCAAGGGGCGAAAATGACACCCTGGCTCCATTAACCTTCTCTCTTTCTTGCAATACTTACGGCACAACTGTTGCCATTGCCTGGTCAAAAACTCCATAACCATAACTGAATTCTGCTTAGGGGCCAATGGAGAGTAACACAGATTGTAAGATCCTACCAAAAAGGTTAAGATATATTTTAATATAAAATATGATAATGTAATTAATTTATATACATATTAATATAAGTAAAATTCAAATACAGATTTTCTTTATAATCATTTTTCATTAATAATTTAATATTTTTTATTTTATACCTAGTAGTGATTAATAAAAAAACTATCCAAGAGAGATTATGACAGACGTCAACTCACAACTCATAAGAAAATGAGACTAGCCCATCGTATACCTTAATGGAAAGGATAACAGAGAATAGATAGTTGAGAGAATAACAGGGCTCACACTCAGAGAGCAGATTTAGGGTTTTTAACCCAAAAATAGGCTTTTAGCAAACGGGTCACGCATCCAAGAGTTCATGTTTAATGCTACAACTTTGCGGGAACGAAAAAATCGCTCGACTCAAACGTTTCTAGCAGATCGTGGAAGTGTCAGATCTTAAGCTCCAGATTGCCGTTCTGACTACAATGCCTGTATGCTCCAACTTGAAGGACAACTTCCAAATTTGTATAATTACTTAAAACAATTGTACAATTAAGTCATATATTTCTGAATTTCATCTTTTCCTTTTTATTAACAACCCAACTAACAACCACAACTGAATCTCAAGCTTAAGCACCAAGAGTCCACAAACATTGTCCTGTGAACTATGTGAAGAGGACTAAATATGCTAGAGCAGTATAATCACAGAAACTAGATTTTCTTAACTCTCATAAATCACACCATTTTGTACCATTAGTTTAAATTTTTTAGTCGATATCAAGTAGATTTTGAAAATAGGTGAGGACCCCCTCACTGTAACTAAAAGTTTAATGAATATGGTAATCTCCTCTAAAAACAAAGGAAATGTGAAATAAAAAATGAAACAAACTTTCTTGCTACAACAAAATAAGCACGAGAAACAGTTACTTACTTGTGTTTCTTGAGCCATACTGATTTGACCTGTGCATTTGCTAGTGGTAAGTGGATTTAAAGCAAACAGAAATGCAGAGAAAGCATCCATATTTGGATAGGTCTGAAAAATGAATGTATCATATTAGAAAACTGTAAGGTATGAGATTTGATATACAATAACAAAACAGAGAAATGCCAACCAAATTACCTTTCCAATATTCACATCATTCAAGCTATTTGATACTATAATGCTTGATAGACCAGCATTTACTGTGAACCTACATTCATCAAAGTAGGCACTTGCATATTCAGTAATGTTACAAAAGATACACTTGAGCTCCAATCCTTAAAACAAGAAACAAATCAAAATTAACCTTTGGATGATATATCCACGATAGTTGAGAGTTATTAGGTGATAATCATCCTTACGCTCAAAATCTTCAATATCCCACAACTGAGTAACAAATAACAGAAACAAAGTTGTCTGTCAGAAAATGAAATCTTATCTTGTACATAGATAAGAACCATATTAATATTTAAAGTTGAACAACCTTCAATTTCCGGAAAACCAACTTATAAGACATTCTCTTTTCCAAATAATCAGGAACAGATTTGAGGATGTTGGTACAGCTTTGATCCCCTTCCATCTTGCAGTGACTATAAAAGAATTCACTTAAAGACTTTGCTTTCTGGTCCAAACTTTCAAGCTCCTGCCTCATTTCCATCCTTTTTTCGTAAGAAACCTAACATTGACCAATAAAATATTGCCAATTAAAATGCATTGGACGACATAACATTGACTTGAAGGATCATTTTAAATTATTGGCAAAATCAAGTTTTAAGGATCATTTTGAAAGTTAATTTATGAAATTGAGAATATTCATTCATGCCAGTCCTTTTTTTGAATCAGATAATTTAGCCCCTAAAATTGTCTGGGAGGAACGAATATGACTGTGAGTCTTAAAATCAGGGATCATTTTGAAACTGAATTTCAGGGCATTAGTTGACTGCACCTACAATTATAGGGACTAAATTGCTGATTCACTGAAACAATTACTCCCTCTTTCCCTAACCCTTCGCCTTTTTAGATTTTTATTTTTGTCCCAAAATTTTGGTTCTTTTAGGAAACCAAGATACAACTAATGATATTTTTCCTTTTGTATCCTTACAAGAACAAAAAACATGCATTAAATGGAATTTACTTTTACGTAATGAATTAAGAGTAAAATGGTGTAAACCTATCTAACATTATTATTTCTTAATGTGTGCCCAAAACTTAAAGGACCAAAGATTAGGGACAGAGGTAGTAATAATCACAAATTAGAACAATTAGATGGTATATTCACTAAGGCACTCAATAGGAATAACTACTAAGGTGTGGTATTTTTGTAACAAGTTGAGCATGATTAACATCTACGTACCAACTTAAAGAGGAATGTTGAGAGTTGAGAACTATTGTGCACATGATTAATGTGCAGCACACATACGGACTCTTAAGTTTTACTATCGTGAGTGCAAATGTTGTTATAGCGGCTGCTACAGCCCTTATAGCAGAATAAGCATAGCATTGTCGTTTTTGTGGCAGATTCACCAAAATGCTCAATATAATAGCGCAATAGCACCGCTGTTTACGCTATTCGGCAACTGATCACCAATCAAGGTAACAACTTATCAATATTGTATTAATGTGAGTTTGACATGGTAACCCTTTTGCAGATCTGAGCTCCAAAATTCCATTAACAACAAAAATACAGACACATGGTGGCTGGAGAGTAGTTCTGTACGCAAGTATATTCCATTATAGATTGTCACGTTAGATGGCAACGGAATTGAAGGGCGGGGAGAGAGAATGTGGTTTTTTTCATTTTTCAAGTACCCTTAAATTAAAATTGCTTTAAATATAATGTCGAGTCTTTTGTCCAAAAGTAAAAATAGGCAGAGATCGCTAACCCCATCCTGTTGTGAAATCAGATGAAGAAAAAGCAGTAACCTTAACTCAGTAAATTAATAGAGTAGTGTCTTAAGAAAGGCTTGTGTATGTGAAAAGATAATTTCCCTAAATGTGTTTGTTTATCCTTTTCTAATATAATTCTCTCTTCGACGTATTTCCAATAACAATACAAGGTTTTGAAGATCAGTTATAACATGGAAAGTGTATCATGATAATTCTAAAGCTATTAGTATTACCACAAGATCAATTTTTAAATAAATAAAACACAGAATCATACCTGACATTTTCCTTGGGAATTAAAAAGTCTTGCATTGATATGACTATCATCAGCTTGAATGTCAACCGGTCCACTCTTAGCAGAACATAGCATTGAATTTTTTATCATCTGAGTCTCTTGAAGCCCAGAACTCAGCTGTTGTGCCTTTTTCTGTGAATAACGAAAGTTTGTATCACCAATAGTAAGTGCTGCTAAAATACTAATATTAATGTGCAAGAGAGGATACCAGTAATCTGTCACGCTTAACATTCATTAGTTGTAGCTTGGCCTTCTCATATGCAATATTAAAAAGCAACATTTTCACTTCCACAACTCTGCAAAAGAAATACTCAACATTATCAACCATTAATGAAAAATCAATTCATAAATTTGTGTATGAAACAACATAATACACATAGTGACTTAGTAAAAGAGCAATACATACCTTTTGTGCCGGGTATTTTGAGGATCCGCAAATTTCTTTGGAAAGAAAAAGAATCATGTCAATAAGAAACATGATTCTGAACAGAGCCAAGTTTGATTTTGAGAAAATATTTGTTTTCATTTCTTGCTTTCACTTTTAATTACAAAAATAAAGCATTGTCTTCATTTTCAAATGTCAGTATAGGAAACAGACAATGTTGACTCAAAGGAAACAGTCTCTTAGATATTGTCTTTAGAGGAAGTAATATGTACTAATAATCATTACAAATATAAGCTTCTTCGCAATATAATATAACTAGCGGAGTGCACTAAATTTGATTATCTAATCTACATACCTGAGAATGAATTTCAGAAGAAAGAATATCCCATTTCTTAACTTTCTGCAGATTAACCAAAACATCCTCCAGCATGCCAATCTAATAATTGAGAGCAAAAACTGTATAAATAGCTATGATAAGAAGTAAGCAACAACTTCCACAATTTTCTTTGGATGCTATTGTTTTATACTCTTCCACAACCATATATTAGAACATACCGATCTCAAATTTAGCTTAACAAACGACGGAGAACGCAACTGTTTTGTGCTGGTTGAGAATCTTTGTAGAATCTACAAGATAATTGAAAAGCAATGACTTAGAGACCCAATAAAAGAATTAAGTTCTAACTAACTATTAATAGAAAGCAGTAAACCATACTTGGTCCCAATCATTCCACTTCTGATCTCCAAACTTTTCTCTTTCACTTCTCATATAACTTGTTTGCTCCAAAACAAATGGTAGATCTCCATTCCCACGCATATGAACCTCTGGACTTCTGTCAATCCTCCCTATCTTATCTATATTGTCTCCATCACTTAATATGACACCCTTCCTCTTTTTCCCAGAAGAAACCTCAATACCAGTTTTCGTAAGAGGACTCTGGGAAACTTGGAATGCCGGATGGTGATTGTTATTAAAACCAACACCATGCCCATCAGAATTATACCTCTGAGACAGATCTCGGATATCACTGGGAGGCTTTTGCGGGGAGGGCAACACAGTTGTTGCTTCTCGAATAGCATTGAACTGACATGCTCAACATCATAAAAGAAAAATTAGTCTTCCACTGGATGTGATGTTTTGACCTCTGTGGAGACACACCTTTACCCATACATAATATGTTTTTGCAACAATTAAATTTTAATTTTGTAAACAAACATTACCATGAAAATATTTACTTGTCTAGACAAAATAAGAGAAAAATGAAGTACGGTTTGCAAATTTTAATGATTAGAAAAACTTGACTTTGCCGAAATATAATTATACTTACGGAAGTAACCTTTCCTTTTTGTCTATTGTCTCCATTACTTAATATCTCAGAAGCTTCCCTTTTTTCCCCAGAAGAAACCTCGATACCAGTTTTGGTATGAAGACTTTGAGGTGCTTGGAGTGTCGGATGGTGGTTGTTATCAAGATCAACACCATGCCCATCAGAATCAATCCTGTGAGACAGGTCACGGATATCACTGGGAGTCTCTTGCAGGGAGGGCAACACAGTTGTTGCTGCTTTAATAGGGCTGCTTAGATTTAGAAATCTTTTAGGACTCCTGCCCGGTTTTCCCTTTAATGCCCCCTAAATCATCCAAGCATCAAATCAGGTTAAATCAATAACAATTCCAAAGCATAGAATTAGCATGTTCAACGTCATAAAATAAGAATTAGTCTTCCACTGGAGGTAATGTTTTGACCTCTGAAGACACACCTTTAATAATACGTTTTTGCAAGGGTTGAAATGTTAATTTTGTAACCAAACATAACCATGACAATTTTTACTTGTCTAGACAAAATAGGAAAAACTGAAGTAGGATTTACAATTTTAATGATTAGAAAAACTTGACTCTGCTGAAATATCTCAAGTCTCGACCATAAAAAATGGGGGTGTTGTACTTAAGGAGATAGATTAAATATCTAAATAAAAATGTATCAATTGATCATCTATGTTTGTTGTAAATGACTCTGAAAACCGTGCATAGAGAACAAACCAATAAAGGAGATGAATTAAATATCCATATTTGAATCAAACTTGAACATTCCTTTTCTATCATTTTAGCAAATGATTCCAAATGCTCCTCAAAGTAATACGGATATGCAAAGGTTTCAGATACATTTTCTTTTTAACTTGCATGAATACTAAACAAAAACTACAGTCACTCTCTTTAATTTTACTTTAATAAATTTGCTAACCTGTGCATCCTCAAAAGGTGAGCTAGGCTGTTCGCTGTTTCCAACACCAGACAAATCCAATTTTTTGGCTACAGCCCGTCTGTCGTATTCAATAGTTTGTCCTAAACCACTATTAACACATTCATTCTGCATTTCCATTTGCTTCAACTCAGCATGGCGATTACTTTGACATTCTACAAATGGCGATAAAGCATGGTCAAATGATTTTACAGGGGAAGAAAAAGGTTTGGCATGTGTAGCAGTTAGAATTTCATCTTTTCTTTTTCCAGCTGTGCTATCAGCCATGTCAAAATCTGCCACTCTTGTTATATGAGTCTTAAGCAAGGGAGAAGCGCCAGTATCCACAGGATTGAGATTTTTATCATTGTCAGAAACATTGGTTGAAACCAAACAATTTTTTTCCCCATCCTTTTTGGTGGCCACAGTGTCGTCATTCATTTTGGTGGTCACAGTTTCTTCATCTGTTTTGGTGGCCACAGTTTCTGTATTTTGGCTCAACTTGCTAATATGTATCAAAGAATCAACAACATGATCATCAGTAGTGATCAAACTTTTATGCATGTTATTCTCCAAAGTGAAACTAAATGGCTGTTCTTCCAAAGGAGCAGTAAGAGTTCCAACCTGCTTGTTTTCAAAATCTCTTTCAGTAAAGAAAGAAGTCCCTGGAGAGTAATTTGAAAACCTGTGTTTCAATTTGTCAATTCCTTCTTTGAGAGTAGATGTGTTGGGAGTAGTCTTAGGAGTTTTCAACTTTGAAATGCTTTTACGTATGGACGACAAAGTCACACTATTTGCGACATGTACATCGAGCAGAGGCAAACCACATTTCTCTAAGGGGGGAGTTATATTTCCAGTACATCTGAATGAATCAGGAGAACCCATATATACTGGTTTATTAGCAGAATGTGACAATGGTGTAAACTCGTGTACAGTATGACTTCCAATAACGTGATCAGACTTATGATTAGCGTCAGATCCTTGTCCCCTGTCTTTTGAAAACCCGTGTTTCAATTTGTCACTTCCTTCTTTGAGAGTAGATGTGTTGGGAGTAATCTCAGGATTCAAATTTGAAATACTTTTAAGTCTGGACGACAAAGTTGCACTATTTGCGACACGTACCTCAGGCACAGGCAGACCAGATTCCTCTAAGGGGGGAGTTATATTTCCAGTACGATCAGGAGAACCCATAAATACTAGTTTATTTGCAGAATGTGACAATGGTGCAAACTCAGGATGACTTCCAGTAACTTGATCTGACTTATGATTAGTGTCAGTTCCTTGTCCCCTGTCTTTAGAATTACTATCATTTACTTGGACTTCGGAAAAAACTTGTTCATACTTGGCAGCCAAATCGAACTTATCACCTTCATCCATCTTTGGTGGGGTTCCTCTATTAGCCTTAGCAGAGTCCAATTGTTTACAAGTTAACGGAGTTGCATCATTGACAAACTCCTTAGTGTTCTGAAAAAACCAAATATCACTTATTGATTACTACTACCATGCATTTTCACAAGTCAACAGATGTAATACTCCCTCCGTCTCATAATAAATGTCTTATTTGAGCAATGTACGGTTCTTAAGAAAATGATTAGATGTGTTGGTTTTAGTGAAAAAGTTAACGTCATTTACTAGAATACCCCTATTAATTGTGGTTGAATAAAGTGAAAGTTAATAAATAGGGGTATAGTAGTGGAAAAATAATAATAAATGATGCAATGGAATTGTAAATGGACAATTATTTTGAGACAAAGAAAAAGTGCAAATGAGACACTTATTATGAGATGGAGGGAGTAGCATACATAAGGATAGCCACAGGCACAGTAGTATCTTCATAAACCATGCACAACTACAACTTGACATAATACTATAACTATTAGCCACTAACTAAAAATTAAAGACCCTAACATGAGGAAAAAAATAAACTTTGAAGGAAACAATTCAACTGGGAGAACTGACAACAGTCAACAAGAATAATAGAACCCGGGTTGATTCTAGTCCAGCAGAAGGCAAGATCTTTACTTTCCAAAATCTTCAGCTTTGTTTGGATTGACAAAATGCAATGCAGTGGAATGGAATATAATTTCATTGTTTGAATTAGTTAAAATCGGATGGAGCAGAGTGGAATGGAGTGGTATTTACTTCATTTCACTTCATCACTTACCACCATTTTTCTTACCATCCGATTTGGACAGAATGAGCATATGGCTTTGTTCCATCTTAAAATATCCAAGCAATGGTGGAATGGCACTTCTAGTCCGCTTCATTCCACTCTGCTCCTTTCCTTTCCATTTTCAGTATTCCCCAACTATTCTAATTTCCAATTCATATAAATGGACACACACAATGCTTAGTTTTTCCACTCAGAAAGACTTCACCATGACACAAAGTTTAAGTAGAAACAATCTCCTTGCACTTAGAAATCATTGAACATATGTAACAACTTCATGCTATTAAAAGAAAAAGAATGTTAAAAAGATTTTCAACCTTGGTTGAAGACTCAGAAGTAGAAGCAACTGCAGTATCATGAGTGATTTGATGAGCAGGAGAATTAACTGAACATTCCAAGTTGGGTAAAACCCCAGTATCATTTGCAATTGGTGAATGCGTAGCTTTTGAACCCACATCCAAATCCTTGTTTCCATAATCCAAAATTGCAACCAACCCAGGAGAGAGTCTTGCATAATCATAAGTTTCTGATTTTCCCACTATGCTCATGTAATCCGAGTCCCCACTGCCACTCCTCAATACTGGAGACTGAGGTGCTTTCTTTTTACCGTCAGTGATTTCCATGTAACTACCAGAAGTGTGGCTGTTTTGAACAGGTGTGGACATGGTTGCGTCAAACCTAGTCGGCGTCTTGAGATCCCCGGAATCGGAACGGGCGAGACTCCTGTAATGCATGGAAAAGGCTGTAGAATCCATAGTAATGTCGTCTGAAACACCCGAGTCTGATAACCGTCCCGGTTTGATGAAATCAGTAGACACGGGACCCCGAAATTCGTCATCTGCAAAGTGAATTTGTGAGAAATTTGAAACTAAGAGTTAAACAGTTAGTTAGCTACATGAGATTAGGGCTCACCATCAGTATCGTCATCGTCGAGGTTAGTGCTGCTGCCGCCGGGAGAGGGAGAGCCGATTGGTTGCAGGAAAGAGTTTCTGTGATCGACGGCTTCAGCGGCGTCGTCAGTGGGGTTTCGGTTGCCTTCGGCGTCTTCGTCGTCGCTGTCTACTCCACCGAGTTCGCGGAAGAGACCTAGATTTACGGGAGGGATGTCGGAAGAGGAGGTGGAGTGGTCGTCATCGGGACGGAAGATATGGACGGAGGTGATTTCGTTGTCGGCGAAGCTGACGCGGCGTGCCCTTTTTCTGTGGAATGCAGTCGTCTCTTCCTCGGTTTCGGTGTTGTTGGAAGGTTCCGTGGAAGCCATTGTAGCTATCTTTCTTCTCCTTCTCTTCTTACTGCGTGTGTCGAATTTTTTGTGCGGGAAAATGCATTTAATGATGACCCTCGTTGGTTTCAAAAAGTATTTCTATTTTTATTAATCACTTGAAAAATTGTAAATTTTGTGATTACAGAATTGATTTGATTACAAACTTAGGAGTTATTTCCTATTTATAAATTTTGGTTAGCTCAAAAGTTCAAAATTATAAAAAACACAATATATATTTTGCTACTAAATCAAATATATTCTATTTTAAATCTAAATCAAATTTATTTAAATCTAAAACAAATTTAATCTCTTCGACACACGTAGTTTCAACACTATGAATTACAATTTAATACACTACCTAATTCATTGTGTCTAAACTATCTATATTCATCACAGTTCTTAGTCTTCTGAATACTTCGACTTGCACTCCCTTCGTCATGATGTCTACAATCTGATTCTCAATTCTGCAGTGTTTCAAATTCATCTTCTCATCTGCTACCTGCTCTCGAAGATAATGGAACCTCATTTCGATGTGCTTACTTCGACCATGTGTTATTGGGTTCTTCGCCAGATTGATAGCTGACATGTTGTCGATCTTCATGGTAATTGCTCCATGATCTTTCTCTGTTATCTCTTCGACCAAGTTCACCATCTAAGTTGCTTGACATGCACAAAGAGAAGCAGCTATGTATTTTTCTTCGCATGATAATAATGTCACTACTGGTTCCTTTCTTGAACTCCAAGCAATTGGTGCACCACCTAACATAAACACATATTTTGCTGTTGATTTTTTATCTTCAACATCACTACACCAACTCGAATCAGTGTATCTCACTAACTTGCATTCTTTTCCTTTATCAATTGCATGAAACAAAATGCCATAGCCAAGAGTTCCTTTGAGATACCTTAGTATCCTCTTCACCGTTGCTAGATGTGATACATTTGGCTTCTGCATGAATCTACTTATCATACCTACATTATATGCTAAGTCAGGTCTTGTATGACAAAGACATCTCAATGATCCAATAAGTCTTTTGTATTGGGTTGGGTCGACATTATCTTCATTTGCATCTTTCGATAGTTGCAGTCTTGGTTCAGTAAGTGTCGAAGTTGAATTGCATTCTTCCATCTCAAATCTCTTGAGAATTTCTCCTGCATATCTTCTTTGATGCATCATCAAACCTCTACTGCTCTTGTAGAATTCGATGACAAGGAATATGAAATCTCACCCAGATCAGACATTTTGAATTCCTTGTTGAGATCACCTTTGAAGTCTTCGATCTCACTTTTGCAGCTACCTGTTATCAATAGATCATCGACATGGAGACATAGTATAAGTAATTCACTATTGCTTCTTCTTACATATACTCCATGTTCAGTTGTGCACTTCACAAATTCCTTCTCCCTTAGGAAACTATCAAATTTCTTACTCCAAGCTCTTGGAGCTTGTTTCAATTCATACAGGGCTTTATGCAGCTTGTACACCTTTCTCTCTTCGTCATGTTTCACAAACTCAACTGGTTGTTTAACATAAACTTCTTCGTCTAAGGGTTCATTCAGGAATGCACACTTCACGTCCATCTGACATATGTGCCAACTATTTATTTCTGTTAGACCAACAACCAACCTGATTATTTCGATCCTAGCAGCAAGTGTAAAAACTTCATCAAAGTCTATTCTTTCTTTCTATAGAAATCCTTTCACCATAAGCCTTGCTTTGTGTCGAGTTACTTTCTCTTTCAAATTAGTTTTCACTTTGTATACCCACTTGACATCAATTACCTTCTTGCCTTGAGGCAATTCGACAAGTGACCAAGTGTTGTTTTCTTCGATAGACTCCACTTCTTCATTCATTGCTTTCATCCACTTCGAATCTTTCAATGCTTCAACTACATTAACAGGTTCGACATCTTCACAGGAAGTATAATGTACCAGCTCACCTTCATTATCTATCACATCATCTGATGTAATCACACAATCTTGCAATCTTGCAGGCATGCGTCTTGTTCTTTGAGGCCTACTTGTACTTGGTATAACTGTTGGTTCCTCTTGTCGAACTTCTCTTTCGACTTGAGTTTTTGGTTCTTCAAGTAGGATTCCCACTTAATCTTTCTTGACATTTTCAGTCCAATCTCATTCTTTAAACTCATCTATGATCACGTCTCTGCTGATCACAATCTGCTTTTTCACTAGATCGAACAACTTGTAGCCTTCTGTCGAATGATGTCCAACTAGAATCATTTGACTTGACTTATCATCAAGTTTTCTTCTCAACTGATCTGGCACATGTCTATGTGCAATAGATCCAAATACCTTCATATAACTCAAGCTAGGCTTCACACCAGACCAACATTCTTTCGGAGTAATTCCTTTTAGCTTCTTCATAAGACATCTGTTCAAAATGTATGTTGCAGTCGAAACAGCTTCACCCCATAACTCTTTAGGTAAATTCTTGCCTTTCAACATACTTCTCACCATATTCATGATGGTTCGATTCTTCCTTTCTGCAATTCCATTATGTTGTGGAGTATAGGGTGACACTACCTCATGCATAATCTCTTCCTTTTCATATAACCTGTCGAAGTCTTTCGACACATACTCTCCACCACCATCAGTTCTCAAAACTTTGAGATTTCGACCACTTTGTCTTTCGACCGTAGACTTGAACTTGGCAAATACCTCGATCACTTCACTTTTCTTCTTGATCAGGTAAGTCCGCAGCTTTCGACTGAAATCATCTATGAATGTAACAAAGTATTTGTTACCTCCCATAAAATCCACCTGGATTGGTCCACATACATCAGAGTATATGACTTCAAGAATAGTCGTCGACCTGCTTCCTGCATCCTTGTTGAAGTTATTCTTGTGTTACTTCGCCTGCACACATTCCTCGCATACCTCGTTTAGACTGTCAATTTTTGGCAATCCTAAAACCATATATCTTCTCTTCAAATCTCTGATGTCTCTGAAGTTGAGATGTCCTAGTCTATAATGTCATATCCATCCATCTCTGCTAGCTACAGTCGAAAGGCATTTGTGCTCTATCACATTTAGTTCGATCTTGAAGGTTCAATTTTGAGACATAGGAGCCTTCAAGATTAATCTTCCATTTGTATCGATGACTCTCATTATCTTATCTTCGATTGACACTTTATAATTATTTTCGACCAACTGCCCTATACTGAGCAAAATGCTCTTCATGCCTGGTATGTATACCACATTAAAAATTACAGACCTATTGCCATCTTTCCTCATAATCATAATATCACCAATACCTTCAGCTACTAGGGTATTGTCATTTGCGAATTTTACCATATTTTTCATTGAGGGATTTATTTTGACAAATCAGTCTTTCCTTCCAGACATATGTGATGAGCATCTTGAATCCAAGTACCATTGATCCTTGAATTTATCTTCATCTTTTGTTGTCACCATCAGCATCATCTCTTCTTCTTCATGTCTTGTAAACTTTGCATCACTTTTTTTATTCTTTCGCTTTTCTGGACAATCACTTGAATAGTGACCATACTTCTGACAATTGTAACATTGAATGTGACTCTTATCAGGTTTTCGACCATCATCTCTTCATCTATTTGCAACACCACCTCTTTGATTGTCTTGGTATGGTCTTATTTGATTCTACTTATTTCCTTTGTTATGGTTTCCTCTATCAGTCAATTTATTGTAGCTGCCTCTACCTTTGTCGAACCACTTTCCTTTGCCTTTGGTTTCTTTTGCTGAATGTTCCTACAAAGCCACATCACTCTTCGACTTTCCTGCAGCTCTTTCATTCATTCTTTGTTCATGAGATTCAAGCGTCCCTTGAAGCTCTTCCTTTTTCAATTTAGACAAGTCTTTCCCCTCTTCTATAGCCACCACTACGTGGTCGAACTTAGGAGCCAAAGATCTCAAGATCGTTGAAACAACAACTCTTGTTGTTAATGTTTCTCCACATGCCTTGATTTGATTCACTGGTTTTGTAACTCTAGTGAAGAAATCATATATGCTTTCATTATCTTCCATCTGAAGCAATTCATATGTTCTCTTGTGAGTTTATAATCTCACTTCTTTCATCTTTTATGCACCACCAAAGGACTTCTCGAGAACATCCCAAGCTTCTTTTACAGATTCTGAATCACTCACTTTTTTAAAATTTTCTGGACTCACACATTGATGAATTATAAAGAGTGTTTTATAACTCAGCTTATCAATTTCTGTGTGTTTGTTCTTTTCTTATTTTGAAGCGTTTTCTCCAAGCGCTTCGAATCCATCTTTTACAAGATCTCAAAGACCTTGACACCTGAATAAAACTTTCATATGTTTGCACCAATTCTCATAGTTGTCTACTTTCAGAACTGGTAGAGTTGTTGGATAATTTGCATTCCCATAATTTTCCATCGTGAATTCTTTTTCTTCCTCAATCATTCTTGATCGATACTTCCCTTGAATCGAAACTGAGCTCTTGATACCAGATGTTAGAAACCCACCAAATATCTATTATGGATTTCTATACAATGACAATGAATTATGAGAAAAGAAAGAAGATAATTATTTTCTGCAGAGTTTCTCTCCGTCCACAAACTGTGGAAAACTTTATTAATCACTTGCAACTGCAAATTTTGTGATTACAATGAATTGACTTGATTAGAAACTTAGGGGTTACTCCCTATTTATAGATTTTGGTTAGCTCAAAGCCCAAAACTATAAAAGCCAAAAATACCTATTTTGGTACTAAATCAAATCTATTTTATTTTAGATCTAAATCAAATCTATTTAAATCTAAAACAAATCTAATCTCTTCGACACACATAGTTTCGATACTATGAATTACAATTTAACAGTGTTTGATTTAGGAAGTCCCTTTCTCAGTTTATCTCAAACAAAATAAGATTATTCTGTAGCACGGTTTAAATGGATGTCTAAAGAGTCTATTTGAAGGAATGCATGGAGTTTGGTCATCAGCTAAATGCATAAGCTGAATTAATATTAGCTTTTTT